CTACAGTGCAGACTAAAGATGGGAACGCTGCTGCGGGAACTTAGTGGCTGTTGTCACGATCTGGCACAAACCGCTCGCCCGTTCAGCTTCGACATCTCAAAACCAGAGACCCTCACACGTAGGGCATCCGAAATGGTGCGAGCTAATCTGATAGGGACTGTTCAAGGCATGGCGCCTCACTATGCGTATACTTGGGGGCCTCTTGTGCTTCGTGTGGTGTCCTCATTAGCGAAGCGTGTTCAAGTTTCACCTCACAAAAGAACAGAGGAGGGAATAGCGGTATCGGCTCAGATGGGCGCCAATTACGCTCGAATGGAAGTTGAGGGCCAGCCATGGGGCGTCTGGCCCGTTGACATCCTATCGAAGTGGTGTCCGTGCGGCTACTGTTTTGCGTTCGGTGTGTGTACACGTTGTGTACGCACTGCGTACGACCGACCCCGCTGATTGCAGGGGAAGAAAGGTGTTCGTAAACAGCAACAAGCGCATACGGGGAGGCAATCGCCAGGATAACACTGTCGGGCGCCCTCCTTTGGCAGGCCCAGCACTTTCTTATCAGCAACGCAGAAGGCCCATGAGGTCTAAGTATGCCCTCAAATTTGTCCCAATCATCCAGACTGATGAAGAAGCACATTATCTACGTGAGGATTTGATCTTATCTCCGCTGCTTTTAAAGTGAATAGATCGATATATCATCAACACTTGACGTTCGAAGCAAATGAGTTTTTTTTTGTTAAAAACCCATTTTCCCCAATATGCATATTAACATTTAGTTTACATGCGTCTAAAAGTCATAGGTCTCCACGTCGTTTAGAACCATTGGTATTTATCTATGCCCCTTGTCTTAATGAGTTAAATCTATACGAGAAAACCTCCGATTCCTTTTTTATGGCACGAAATCTGTCAATTTTTAGCTAGACTCGTCGCCCTCAATCTCGTTATCGTGTTGGAACCAGCAAACATCACACGCGCACTTGAAACACCTCTGCGATTTATAGCTCACCGTTATCGGGGCGCCTGCTTTCACGTCTTTAATCATCTTCACTAACACCTTTACGTGTGATCTGTTCTGCATTCAGACGAAGGCAGCATTGGGCTCACACGCGTGACTGATAAACCTGGTTATCATGCCATATTCTAGTGCCTCCACATACACGTATTTGCCGGTAGACGACAGGTTGTTGTACAACATGGTGTAGCCACTGTTTTGTTTCAGCGCTTGATTTGGTTGCCCTTTTCTGAGGCCTTCGTATTCGCACAGCATGCCGACGTACTCACCAACTACATCCCCGACGTCTAGCTCGGTGGTCGTGAACACACCGAGGCCTACACGGCCAGTGTCGTACAATTTCAGGGTGGATCGAGTTCTAGGTGAGCTGCTACAAATTGCGTTCAACTTGCATGAATCAGGTGTATAGTACAATGCCGAGAATGCATTTGTGCAACTGTCCATGAAGCAGTCCCCCATACAAGCACAGAGGCCGCAATCTCCTATATCCTTGAACGTTATCCCTGTTGGGTTCAAATGTTCGTTGATACATCCAGCTACCTCGGGCCATTGGACTTCTGTCGGGGTGTGGGAGTCGTCTTCCGTAGCCTCGACGTAAATTATTCGACAAGCATACAAATTGCGCAGTCTAGATTTAACCCCAGGAAGCCGCAACACGGTCTTCGCTTTCTAAAGAGTGGGCATGGTAGATCTGGGATCCACTGCGTGTGATTGCGCACCCCTGTTGGTGTCTTCTTTTGCGTGAGCGAGGCACAAACCACGTACCGCTTCTTTGCTTTGCTTGATGGCGGATCTTCTCACGCATCCAACGTGTAGGAACGGAGCTGATGTAGTTATCGGCTGCAAGAAGTTCGGCATCGGTTGGATCCCCGTCAACACTATCTTAAACACTTTCCTCGCTCATAATTATTCTCTCGCCCGTCTTCTCCAGCTCCAGACCCTCTTTACACGTGGTGTGCGAAGCAGGGGAAACCGCTGCCCCATCACCGGCGACGAATTCAGCGTTTTGGCTACACGTCAGGTCAATCAAGTGTCCAGCTTGAATTTCCTCGCATACAGTGTGCTCTTTACTACCTTTTGCAGCTGCTCCACATTTCGTTTGCGTATGGACGACAGTTTCCAGAGAGCTAGGGGCTGTTTCATTATTAGATTGACGGTCACTACGTGCTAAATTTACTTCGGCGCCTAGGGAGTGTCGATAAGATTTTCCGCAGACTCAGCTCGCAGGGTTTCACGCACTGCATCGACTGTAGCATCGACTGCAGCACTTCAAGCTTTTCTGAGTGCGCTGGTTTGAGTAGGGCGCCGGACCTTTCCTGGCTTTAGCTTGTACGCTCTCAATTTTCGCCACTTGACCTCCTCGATGCTTAGATCACTGCCTGCACTGTTCCGTCGACATCGCATAAAGTTTGAAAGGGGCAACGCCTCCCCGGTATCCAAACTCACGGGTAGGAGGTTGTCTGGGTTGTCGTCGACAGCCAAGACGACAGACTCACGAAGGCCCCGCGAATCGCCGCACATAAAACGACGGCTGTAGTACTTGATCAGTTCTCCTGCGCATAACTCTTCTGAAGGGAGTTCCTCCAGGCTCAAGCCGAACATCGCGCACGAGCGACTTCTGGCCTGCAGAGACGGAGTCCTCGGTGCTGACACCGTTGGATGATACGAGGAGTAGATATGCAGGACGATTACGTAAAGTAGTACGATCCTAACGTTACCGTATTCCTTATGTGATTGGCGACAGTCAAATTCTTGAGGTGGTCCAGCCTTTCTGCCAGCATAAAAGATACCTGCATAGAAAAAACTATATGACATGCTCAAAAATATATTGGTCGCCAAGCACATAAAGCGCGACGACACGAAATTTAAATCAATTTGATTGGCTGCTGGATTTGTCGCTAATGACCGAGCGTCGCCAATCACATAAGGAATACGGTACTCGAATTTTAAGATACTTCAACTTCATTTACTTCACCCTTACTTTATTACGATCACTTATGAGGTACTTTTGTGCCGTCCAAGGTACAGTACCGGTATGCGCCGTGATGAGTCCTGTGGTACAAGCGCTGAGCTACTAAAAAGGCCACTCAGCCCGATTGGTTTCTGTCTTTTTGTGTTCTAATCTTCCCGGCATTGTTGTGTTGGTCGTGTGTTTTTAATGTTTTCTCAGCAAAAAACCGAGGCTATATCACACCATTTGGTCGCCACATCGTCACCGGACGGCGGAGCTTCTGCAGATAAACTACGACTCCTCTAAGATTTAATAAGCGTAAGCGCAAATTTATTGTGAAACGTTATACTTAAAAGGAGTGTCATAGCTGGCGTTCGTCGCTGGCTCACCCGCTAGGTCTCTCAGCTCTTCGCGCGTTGGCGTAGGAATCGTCTCCGGTGCTGGTGCTTGCGATTCTTCAATGTAGGCATTCTCTTGTCGTTGGACCTTCTTATAGGCACCGATCCACTCGTGCTTAGTTATTGCGGCTAAGCCTTCTCCAACCTTATCACCTAAGTCGTCCAGCGAAGCGGTTGGATCGAGTGCAATGCGGTTCTTCAGCGCCCCCCAAATCATCTCAATAGGTTGTAGCTCAGCATGATACGGGGGCGTATACAGAACTTCGTGGTCATACTCCCTAGCCGTTACAACCGCCTTGTAAATAGGTGCTGGTCGCACCTACAGTTTTCTAAAGTTAAGTCAGTATTATTTAATAATAACTGAATTTTTTAATAAAATGGCACAAAATAATACCTGTGCAAAAACAGCACGCAATTGTTTTCTTGTGTAGTTACTTGGTACAGTGAAGCCCTGTCCCTGCAGCCATTCGATGAGCTCAGCTCTGCGTGCGTTGCTTGGTGGAGGTGCGTTAAATTGAATCTTGTGGGGGGACGCACCGTCCAAATGGATACGACAAGGCAGCAGTAGAGCAGCACACAGTCTTTCAAGCCATTGGTTGAAAAGGCCGCCATTGAAGTTGTCGTGATAATCGGCGTCATTGGCCTTGTAGGGAGACGGCCAAAACTCGAGAGACTCGGGCACCCACTCCGCATGCAACTTTCCATTCTTCGTGTACACTGCACCAGCACCGACAATGCAATAACGCTGACCCTTACCGCTTGTTGTATAATGAGAAGAGTTCTTGAGCAGCCACGTCGATCCCGCAACATGATTTACGTTGCAAAAGCTCTCATTTAAATATATTTCTGGATAATTTGGGTATCTTCGTGCGTTTAAGTTTAAAACTTGTTTTTGCAAGTAGACACTCATAAAAGAAATGTTACCTTCCGTGTCCGCCCGCGGGTCACGCGAGCGTCCCCGAATAGAACTAACATCCATTCGTTGAAGTTCATCTCGCATTGTGCGCGGCGGGATAAATTTACCTGTCTTCTTTTTTACCTCTGCTACCGAGATATTTGATGCTTTGACACATTACGGTCATTTATGATGTCGGATATATTACATTGACGTTGTCCCGCCTCTGATCTTGGAGGACAAACGCGAGACCCGAAATCCGCTGTGAACATTCGCGTCTTGGTACTTGTTCCAGTGGGCCACGTGCGTTTGACCATGTCCTCCGATACCGCCAAACACGCAGCTACTCGCTGGCGCACAGCTCGCTTCGCGGGGTCAAGTCGTTGTTAAGCTTCATCCAAGTAATACTCGTGTGCACGTATGATGTGCAGCTCTCGTTGGGCGTTAAGTGCCTCATGCTGAAAGCAAATGCGGGAGTGAAGCAGTAGCAACTGAGAATATATAAACTATGCGTCGTGACGATTCTATATGTGTTCTTAGATTATTCGTGCGGTCAGTATTGCAAGCGTTATGGTCATAAAACGTTCTGGTGGTGCATTTCATCTCGCCAGTACAATACTTTGTACTGCGTCTAGTCCCCTTCCTCGCCCAACCTCTTAGCCCCAACATGTCGACCTTATCCGATTCTGGTGTCAAGATGACGCGCCGCTTCCTGGGTTGCTGGTTTCCAAGCTAAGCCTTGGTGCGCGGATGAAGTACAAGGAGGAAAATACCGTGGACGCGTGGTATGAACTGATGAAGACGACGTTCAAACGCGACGTCAACTTCTTCGACACGTCCGAGATGTATGCCAATGGCCACGCGGAGAAGCTGCAAGGAGGTGCCGTCAATAAGGGCATCGTTGATGGCGTTTAAGGTCGCGCGGATCTCGTACTTACGACCAAGCTTTTCCTCGGTTACAAGGATATCGAGACAGCGGGACCGAACGACCAAGGACTAAGTCGTAAGAAGGCACCGAGGCTTCTCTCCGCCGCATGGAACTGGACTTGGTCGACGTTCTCTTCTGTCACCGCCCCGACCCGCATACACCGATCGAGAAAACTGTACGTGTCATGAACTACGTTATCAAGCAAGAATGGGCCATTTACTGGGGCACCAGCAAGTGGCTTCCTTCCGACTTTATCGAAGCGTGCGAAGTTGCCGACCGTCTCGGTTTGGTCCGTCCCATTGAGGAGCAGGCTCAGTACAACATCCCCACCACTCGCGGGGGAGTTCAATTAAGCTGACTTGTACAAGAAGTACAAGTTGGAACTGACGACGTGGTCGCCGTTGGTGTACGGGACTCTGACGGGTAAGTACAGCTCCGGTATTCATAAAGGCTCGCGCTACATGAGTCCAATGTACCAGAAGGGGGCACTACGGAACGACTTTGAGCAACGTGCTGCGATGGCAGACAATCTCAAGCCTATCGCTGCTGAAATCGGCTGCTCCCTAGCTCAACTGGCAATTGCATGGGTTGTTTCAGACGAAAGTGTTTCGACTGTGTTAGTTGGCGCGAGTCGCCCCTCTCAGCTCGAAGAGAGCCTGGAAGCTCTGGCGCTCGTCGACAAAATTACGATGGAAGTCAAGTCTAAGATTGACGCTATCGTCAACTCCGTGCCGACACTGGCCACGATGGAAACGTTTGCACAGGCACCAAGCTGGATGCATCGTCGTCTTTCAAAGGCGTCAACACGCACCGGTCGTGTCATCCCCACAGGGGATGACGCTTTCCGCGACGACGCTGTACCTAGTGTCCAGATTTAGCTCTAGTTCTAACAACATTCTTCGGAACCCCAGGCTGGCATCGCCCAGACGATGAGACCGCCTACGCTGAAGCATAACGTTCCGGTGACGAAGACGACGTGCAGCCAGCCGTTGTATAGCGCATTTTAAAGATCGAAATTAGCTGACTGCTGGACCTACACGTGTACGAGAACGCACATAGCCAAACAAAGTACGAAAACTAACATCGAATGATTTTAAGATAAAAAGGCAATTTTTCCCGTATCCAGAAAGCCCCAAGTGAATTGAAAACGTGGTTGGCGTCTAGCTATCAACAAAACCAGAGGTTTTTGCTTAGATGGCGAGGGGCCATGATATACGAGCTGGTCTAAACCATCACAGAGTTACCATAGCTTCCTCGGCGTCGCTCAAGACCCAAGCGAAGGTTGATGGTGGTAACCCGAACGTCTAGACTTAAAACTTGATTTTGTTCTAAATACATTTGTATCATACCGCTATCAATACTGAATACGAGATAGTTGCACATAACATGACAAGACTAATCGGACGCATTTTAATTGTGAAGTAGTTGTCGATGGGTGATTTCATCTGTCTATATATTCGACTTTTATCGGGGCCATCGAGGGATAAAAATGGGGTATAAAAATGAGCCGATTCAAAAAATACTGGAAGGCACCCTGTATACAAGGTTTAAAGTTATAGCTCTCATGTTAAAACATTTCGCCGTGTAGCAGCATAAAACGCACGAAATTACACACAACTCGCAAAAATGAATCTCGACCTGATGACTGTGGATATGCTGTAAGAGTTTATATCATACTCTGTGTGAATATAGTGCATTCAGTTTTGAAACTGCTTTTAACAGATTTTATCAGTTTAAAAACTGTTTTTGAGTGAAATGACCTCACTTAGATGTGAAAATTAAAACGGTGGCTTAGTATGGTCCAAATCCTAATAATGCGATTAGCAAAATCGTGATTTTGCAAGTAACAGCTTTAATCGCAACATGCTTTTTTTCTATTCTCCAGAGGGTGAAATAATTAACGGTTAGTGTTGCAAATTTCATATTTACCATTAAATCAGCCCAGCGCGACAACGCGTTTTGGACCCTGCCCGCAACAATTGACCAGATCCTTGCACATTCGCTGTAGGCCTGAGTGTTTTCCCTCGATGTTCTTTGTGCTATATCCGGTAATGTAAACTATCAACTCGAGGCATTTTTGTCAATTTATAAATTTTGGCCAGTAAGCGGGGGGTATTTTGCGTTCTTACTTGTCATTCGTGAAAATTGGGATAAGTAAGAAGCCCATACAG